AAAAATTATATCTAATAAATACAAAACTTGAAATGTCGCATGAATTTTGCTATTGGCAACATCTCTTCACAAAACTTAGTATAGTACAGGGGGATGGGGAGAGGGGAACAGAAATTGAATGGATATAGAAGAGCCACGTGAAATACAGTGGGTCGGAAAATAGAGAAGGCCACAGAGATGGGACAGACTCCCAGGAGTCACACATTCACAAACATACAAAGTGAGAAACAAGGGGAGAGAGACAACCTCCTGCCTTTCCAACCCAGATATCCAACGACCAACAGAATGACCCACAAAAAGTAACACACCAAGTGACATACACAGATGCAGAGGAAATGAGACAGAGATTATCTATAGTTCTGTATAGCACACAATGGGACGAAAACACTGGTGGCATACACAGAGGTAATGTATAGTAAATGATAATTCATATTAGGGCAAGATTAAATATTTTAAAAATTCACTCTTTCTAAAGGCCTACCAAACCTAATGGAATCAGATATTCTATTTTTGACTTAGAAAATTTATGACTCCATCATCTTTTTCAAAAACCGGCTTTCTTCTCCCCTGTGCCTTCTCCCATTGTAAATTAGCTCTTACCTGCCTCCTTCAAAGCGACTGATGAGATCTGATACCTTACTGGGTTTTTCTTTTGAGACACAAGAAGCAGAGGCAGGTTTAACTTCCTCCATCCTTGGTTTTGCACTAGATAAAGCTTTATGCCTGGGGGTTTGGTGTATATTGGACGAAGGAGAATTCTGCAGATGTAATGGCTTTGGAGGCACTGTAGAAAAAGAATTAATAGAATTCAGTATGTCACTGTTATTTGTTCCCTAAAAAAAATTCCGGTGTCTTAGGTGCAAAAATCTTTAGCATTATCAAACTTTCGTAAAGGAGTCTGTCAAATTTGTACTGAACCTTGATCAAGGGACCTTTATCTATCTTGGATATTTGCTCAGTGTCCTTGGGAAATCCCATCTCCAAGATTCAAGTGGTTCTTTTAATTTTAGGTCATTTTAAATATGGCATTATTAAACACGTGGAGATCTACATATGGCTATGGCATTACAAACTCTATTAGAGATAACAGAGCCGTTATTTATCTAAACAGAGAAAAGAAAGTACTAAATTTGAAACTAATTCCTAGGGCTACATTGCTTGCTACAAAACAATTTTCTAATAATAGAGTGAATAACAGATATATCAGAATCCAGAGCTAGTAAGTTAAACAGTAAAGCCAACAAAACAACAACAACAAACAACAGTTAATATAATGTTGCATTATTATAGCATCTTCCCACTTCACAAAAGCACCTTATTTCATTTGATCTTAGATAAAATGTTTTACTTTACAGTTCTCTGAGGTAGGTACCATTATTTGCTTCTTATGTTTATGAAGGCTTAGAGAGGTTAAGTGATTGGCCTGGAGGAACAAGGCTAATCTGATTTTATGACTGGTACCCAGACTCTGGCTCCTTCCATTATCAGCACTGCTCCTCATCATAAATCTAGCAAAAGGGGGATATAGAAGTTCTATTATTATTGTCTGCTACATTAATAGTTGGCTTGCATCAATATACCACAAATCATTTGCTTACTAATAAGTCCTTCATTCAATTAATAGACTAGGAACAGATCATTTCCTGAAATACTAAAATCTATACAATTTCCCCTAACAGATGAGAAACTCTATAGGTAGGAAAATATAATATGCCATAAGAGCTTAATCACAACAGGGATTACTTTAATTTTGAAAACCAATATAACTTTTCTCTTCGATTAATATTCTGGGTAAAAGATTATAACAGGTTGTGTATTTTTCTATAACTGGTTTTAACAAATCAAATAGAATCACTTCCTTTTTTCTTTTTTTATACCTTTCTCCTAATTTCTGGAGGGAGGGTGGGGAATCATGTCTCCTTCTAATTACATGCCCCAATTTCCCCTAGCTGGTTACTCTGGTTTTCAGTAATCTCATCTCTTTTATAAACTCAGCTGACAGTTGCCTGATGCTCACTGGCCTAGATTTCATCATTTCTGTGCCAGTTATCAATTCTTACGGAGAATGAAAAAATATATATCACAGTGAGCTACACGTGTAACAATTAATTCACCTCATTCCCTTTCAACACAAACAGAAGAAAATCTCAATGAAAAAATGACATGCTTCTTTTTATGAAAATGACATTATTTTCTAAGATATGCTCGAGGGGATGGTTAATATAGTATCCACTGGGAAGGAAGGGGCTTATATAAGTGTGCTATTTGTTAATTTTAAGGAAAAATTTCCTATGTAGAACAAATATATACTAAAATAGTAAACCAGGACAATATCCAACCATAAAAAATAGTTTTAACATTAGGAATAATTTCAACATTCTTAACTAGAATCTTTAAAGAAGAAAGTGAATATGTTCTTTATAATTCTGTGTGCAAAATTTGTTATAAAATAACTCACCCATCTAGAGTTTACTCAGTGAACATTTCTTATTTCTTATGTGCCAGACACTGTGAGATGCTTGAAAGACACAAATAAAATGATACATATAAGCCAGTCAGTTTCTGAGATGACTCCACTGACTTTTTCCATCTCAATTATGCCTCTCTCTTAAACTGTTTCATAGAACTGTGTGCTTTTTCTATAAAGTGCTTATGAAATTATTACATATTATTAGTTAGTAATAAGTAATATTAAATAGATCAGCAATAAAATATTAAATACATTATAGATGTAAAGTTTTCTCTTCCATGAGGCTGGAGTTCTGTGAGGGTTAGGAACATGCTTGTTTTGATCACAGTTGTATTCACAGTAACTACCTGTACAGTACTTGGCAAATTTGTGGAATACATGAAGGAACTAGTTAATTGTGTCATCAAAGAGCTCATATTCTAGTGGGGAGGCAGCTTAATACTGTTCAAGATGGGCACTGGGTACACAGTTATTTTAGAAGCACAGAGAAAGCATCTATTTTGGCAAGGGAGACAATCCAAATGTACAGTAAATCAGTAAATATACACATTTTTAAAAAAAGAGCACAAATGCTACATGGATATGACAAAAATCTCAAGACGGCACATGAATGGCTAAAGTGTCAGAAATACTGTTTTAGAGGAAAATAATGTGTGCTTTGCTCAAAAGACATAATTGTTGAGTGGAAATGACTCCCCTCTCTCTCTCACCCTTTCTGATCTTTCCTTTGCACTATGGAGGTCAACATTTCCAAATGCTCTCCAGGCATCTCCCAGGTGTCCTATCAGCACCTCCAGTTCCTTATGTCTAAAACTCACTTACTACTTCTTCCCCCTGCAGCCCAAAGGATGTAAACAGGAAAAATAGTGCTCAACCTCACTAATAATCAGGGAAATGCAAATTAAATCCGCAGTATGATACCACTTCAGCCCCATCAAATTAACCAAAAAATTTAAATCTGATAATACCAAGTGTCAGTGAGGATACGAAGCAATGTGAAAGCTCATACATTTTGAGAGGGAGTATAAGTGAATACAACCATTAAGAACTTGACATTTCCAAAGTATATATCCTAGAGAAATTCTTATACATCTATACAGGGTTTTTAAAAAATTTTTACTTTTTCATTGATTCAACAAATACTTACTGAAAACCTATTAAATTCTAAGCACTTGATCATATCAATGAACAAAAGTCAAAACAAGAAACAAAAAACATAAGTAACCTACATGTCAGAAGGTGGTACGTGCTAAGAGAAAAATGGGGGGAGGGGCTAAAAGAACAAGCTAGAGGGGATCTAGAGTGTAGGGACACTTGAAGAAGCTGAGGGAGTTATTTGGAAAAGACCATTCCCTCAGGGAGGGCAAAAGCTAGAGGCTGCTAAGGTCTGGCGGTCAGTGTGACTGGAAACGAATGAACAAGCAGGCAAGTGTAGGTACTGAGGTCAGAGGGAGGGCCTGACACTGTAGAGCCTTGTGAAGCACTGTGAGGATTTTGACTATGAGTGAAATGAGAAGTCACTGCAGAGTTCTGAGCAGAGGAGTGACACGATACGACTTAATTTCCAACAACATCACTCTGGCCGCTGTGTTGAGAATGTAGGGGAGAAGGGTAGAAGCAGGGTGAAGAGGTAGGAGGTTACTGTAGAAATTCAGGCAAGAGATAATGGTGCTTGGAAGGAGATAGTAAGAAATAGTTGGATTCCTGGTATATTTTAAAAGTAGATTTCCTGATAGATTAAACTGAGGTATGAGAGAAACAAGGAGGAGTCAAGGATGACTCTGAGACCTTTGGCCTGAACAACTGGAAGGATGGAATTGTCATCAACTGACGTAGTAGGTAGAGCAATTTTTGGAGAGAAGATCTGTAGTCCAGTTTTGGACACGCTAAGTTTGAAATATCTAGTTTACTACAAATAAAATGGCCTCTATTCCAGTCGATTTTACGGGCAGTAAATAGAACAAAAGAATTTAATGATTCAGAAATTTCCAAATATGCAAAATAATTATTGAGAATGAAAAGAGAAACTAATTGCCAGTTTAAGTTTGGGGATTACCACTAGATTTTGATTACTCTTATTTTTACTTACGATGAAAAACAAAAGCTGGCTATAGATGAATGCATTATAAATTTATAACATGTTATATTTTAAGAACAGCCAGTCCTGGTGGTCTAGTGGTTAAGATTAGGCCCTCTTACCACCACAGCCCAGGTTCATTTCCGGGTCAGGGAACCACAGCACCCATCTATCGGTTGTCACATCGTGGCAGCTGCATGTTGCTATGACGCTGAAAACTACATCACCAGTATTTCAAATACCAGCAGGTCACCCATGGTGGACAGGTTTCAGCGGAGCTTCCAGACTAAGACAGACTAGAAAGAAGGCCTGGCCACCCACTTCTGAAAAAACTGGCCATGAAAACCCTGTGAATAGCAGCAGAGCATTGTGTTTATAGCACCGGAAGGTGAGAGGATGGGGCAAAAAGACTGGGCAGGGTTCCACTCTGCTATACACAGGGTCGCTACAAGTCAGAATTGACTTGACAGCACTAACAACAACAAATACTTTAAGAATGGAACATTACACATAGAATGCTTTACTTTAGAAGCAAATGAAATAGGTTTGAGTACCTTACATTACTTAAATTATTGAAACAATAATGCAGCTTTCCAAGTTCATGAAACTTTTTAACATATTTAGGTTTAATGACTGAGAAGTGACAATATGTGGGCTGTATCAAAATAATTATGGAGAATGTTGTGCACCAAAGCTCCTAAGAGAAAAAGAACTATTAGCTTTAATTGCTTACGGAAGTTATTTTGATTTATGTCTAGCGTGGCAGGAAATAGGCCAATACTAAAAATGGCGAACAAGAAGAAAGACTTATGTTGGAAGTTGCTCAATAATTTATTTGTTGTTTGACTGGTAGGATTGGTATGAAGTGAATAAACCATTGTTTTTCAAAGCCTTAGGGTATTTTCTGAGGCTGAGGCAAAACAAGCCCTAACTACTGAAAGAATCCATTTCAAAACCTACAGGCTCCAATTTAGATTCAAATGCAAGTTTATTTAATCTATAAGCTAAAACTTAGCTCTTTTATCCTTTTAAAAACTATAATTCTTCAAAATTATTTACTTATTGGTAATTAGTAAACATAGACGTAAACCTGATATTGTTCCAGACACATTACCACATAATCGTCACTAATAAAAGTATTCAATATTGTCTCTCCTTTTAAAAAATCACCAAAATAAATTGTAGCTATGATATTATTAGCACTCCATATGAGAAACAAACAAACTAGATTTAATTACAAGCTCTTTTTAGGATCTAGATCAGAGTTTCTTAAAGTATTGATATTTCAGGTCAGATAATTCTTTGTTTTGGGGGCAGGGGAGAGCTGGCCTGTGCATTGTAGGACGATGAACAGCATCCCTAGCCTCCACCCACTAGATGCCAACAGCGACTCCCACAAGTTGTGTCAAGCAACAGTCTCCAGACAATGCCAGTGTTGGGGGAACGGGACGGGGGGACTGTCTCCAGTTGAGAACCACTGATCTAGAATAAGAGTCTTCAAAATTAAATTACAATTACATAGTGGATCTTGAAGCCTCAGGAGCCTCACCATTCATAACCTGTAAGGGATTTGCAATAAAGTTGGAATAATGGTGTCAGTGTGAATCCCTTCCTCTGCACAGGAAGTCCCCATAAAAAGTTCCCTTCCTTCCTTGTCCTTAGTCACCCAAATGTTCTTCAGGGTTTGGAGAAATTAAACGTATCTTCTCTCTACTAGAGGGTAGGGAACACTTATTATTGGTCAATAAGTCAATGATGAGTGCTGAACCTATCTGGCAGCTGATCTCACAATACCAAGATGTAGCCTCATTTCAGTGACCTTGGTCTCTATATGGCACACACTCTTAATTTGTAAACAAAGAATGGCAGAAACAAAGCAGCGGAAACGTGGTGATGGAGCAGGGATTCATTCAACAAGTATTACTGAAGGCCTGCCACGCTATGCTAGGCACGGGGGTGCAGCAGTGCAAAAGGCAGAAACAACCCAACATGGATAAGTAAAATATGTAGTGGTCAGATTGTAATGACTGAGAAAAAATAAAGTAGGAATGGGGAAATATGAAATGTCAGGGTTAAGGGTGGGGTTAAATTTTAGCTGGGGGGTAAGGGGGGCAGCAAAGGGCCAAACAATGAGTGAGAGTATTGTGAAAAATAAATATAAAATATGTGATTTATTTAATATCTGGAAATATTCCCTGTAGCTATGTAAAATTTCATATATGAATCTACATTCAAGGTAGGAAGTAAATACGTATGTAAATAGCAATATACTGACTTTAATATAACTACAAAGAGCAAAAGCAAGGTCAAGTGTTGTCTCCCTAAAGAATATGATTATTTTGGCACATGGCAGCTCAGGAAGGACACTGCTATAATTTATCTCAACGAACCGTGAAAAACAATGAAGTAATGCAATGCATCTTCCAGAAAAAGGCTTTATAAATAATGAAATTCTTGCTTTTGATCTTGGCAATTACATAAAATTGAACTGTATTCATTTTTTATATTCTTACCTCATTTGATCTTTGTCAGCTCAGGTCTAATGAGCAAGATGAACTTTGTATTTTGCAAATAAAATGGCTTAAATCATGATCAAAAAAAATTCTATGTTCATATTCACATCAACGTGATAGAGAGGGGTATAGTCAAAACAAAAGGTTATAAACTCATGAATGGGCTATTCATTTGAATCATCAATTATTTGACCTTGCTTGATAGCTATACCCCATATCACCACCAATTATAGCTAGTAGTGAGAACAAGAAGAAAAATATTCCATAACCTGGAAGATTCCATCTAAAACCCCTTTTAAAGCTCTCTTTCAGAAATCCTTAAAATGTAAAAACTTGAAAGAGTAACACCAGTTCTTTTATAATCGCTCTCTGTAACACTTTTTTCTTTGCAAGAAAGGAAAGAGACCAAAGCAAATACAAAATAAACCAAACAGAAATTGATTTTTCCAAAGTATAGTAATTCTGAAAATGCCCAGTACTGTTTCTTGGCTGAATGTTCAGCATTCAGTATAAATGAAAATCTATTAGGAAGAAACTACACATTAAGCCATAGCGTAGCTTAGCTTTGTGTTACATTTCAAAAGGCCTTGCTCTCTATCATCAAAATTATAATTTTGTTCTTCTCAAAGTTATTACCTAGTTCACCAGAAATTTATTCGTAAAAGGAAATGGTCACTGAACAAAACATTCAAAGGTTTCCGCCATTATAATTTTTTCCCCTTATGGCTGCTCAATTCCTGAATGGAGGGACCATTTACTTTTAATTTCTGTGGATGACTTTACTAAGAAGCCTTTCCTAGCCTCAGTTCCTTAATATTGTAAAATCACATTCTTGCTAAGTACGTTAAGCATTATTTTAGAACAATCTGTTTCACAGGTGCTCTGACATCTACCAAGTCACAACAACTTTCTGACAGTACTTCCAAACACACGTTCATTTGTTACACATTTTTTATACAAACAGTAAGTTAAGCCCTGTACTAGGTCAAGCATGATGCATGAAAAGATCACAGTCCCCTTAAGGAGACATGTAAACGATTTCAGCAACTTGAAAAGAACCATATAGAGAAATGTATTAAGTGTTTTAGGAGCAGAGCAAATAACCAACTCTGCCTAAGAAGGTTCACAGATTGACTTTTCTCCTGAAAAAATAAACGTACCCAATTCCTCTCACTTATAGGTTAAAACTCCTTCTTAGTCGTCATCATTCTTCTGGGCAGCCTTCGTCAATGAACAATGCACCCAACCTGATCAAAAAACCCCGATCAGCATACCTTGTGGCTTTGGATTTGCAGCTGAGGGTTTTGCTGGCGTTCTTCCATTTATTCCCTGAGCCTCTTCATCAGATACATTCTGATCAATCAGTGTGGTCGTGCTGCTTTTCAAACAAGGTGGATCTAGAGTGATCTTTGGACAGGTACTGCTGCCTGGAAGAGTTCAAAAAGAAAGGGCAGGTAAATACAGAGGCGGAGCACAACTGTGTCTTGTGACTTAAATTTCTTCTGACCCCATAAAACAAAAACAGCCACAGTTCTAAGACTAAGCATAGAAATACTTTTCCAATGTGTGCTGGCCTCAGCAACGTTTTCTTGGGAAAGATCTCATTCCATGCGCTTGAGAAACCTTATAATGCATGTTGAAAGAGATTGCTACACACACACACACACACACACACACACACACACATTCCTCCTTCCCTTGCAGGGCCATTGAAAGGGCAGAATGCAGCTGCTACTATGCAGTCAAAGGAGAGGACCAGAGGGGCCCAGTACTAATCTGTTAAAAGCGTTCCTTTCCAGTGTCCAGTTAGTCGCCAGTCATCGAGTGACTCAAAAGAACAAAGCAAGAAAGCACCAACATGACAGCTGACCTACAGACTCTAGAAGAATGGCTCAATTAGAAATGAACAAACACACATTCCGCCTCACTAGCTTACTCAGACTCCAAATCAACATATATAAGCTAATAATACCCATGTTTTCTAAAATAAAGAATGGTGAGATTATACAGATAACACTGTCAGATTTATTAACAACTCAAAACCCCAAAATGTTCTTTAAAATACTGAAATACATCATAAGACACAGATGAAGAAGATCAATTTTTTGATTTCTGATATAAACAGTTAAATTTCAGAGACTTTTTAAGAAATCACATACCAATGTTTTCTCTTTATACTCATATCAAATTTCCCTTTCTTCTAGTTGACATGGTGATAGTAACAATAGACTGGACTCCACTTAGGAGAAAATAAAATTTCTACCAGGAAAATTCACAATCACTAAATAAAAGTATGCCATTTAAGAAACTATCATTGTTAAAAAACAAAGAGTTTCATTTTTACAGAATCCAAATATCTAAAGAGAGAACTATGAGAAATAAAGGCTTAATTATTATTCAAAACCAGAAAAGCTAATAAACCCCAATCAACTTTCTACTGAGTAAAAAAATTCTTTTACTTCAATTGACTATTAAATAGTATTGATTAAAAACCACACTACTGCTTTATCTTCTGTGCCCTCCTTAAAATTTATCTTGGTAAAACAAATTTTAGAAGATATTAAAAATTCCAAGTATTGTCTGAGAAGTTAGTAGAGACCCAGTACTAAAAGAAATTAAATGGGTTTTCATCAGACAACCTTCTGCTAAAACGGGCTGCCAGCTGGATTAAGCATTGTTTAGCCAAATATAACAAAGGCTTTGAAAGCAAGATTTATGGAAGATTATTTGACAGCATATTACTAAAATTGTAAACAGAAGACATAAAAGCTCAAATCTTTAAATGTGTGATCTTATCTACCTTCTTAGAAAAACCATGTGAAATAGGCAAAGTAAATCCCCAAAATCCACAGCATATCATCCAACCACTTAGCCTTTTAGGGGTATTATGATGTTTGTTCCACAGTGATCCCAAGAATGGCTTAGTATCTTAAAGGCTACCTGCTGGGGTCTCATGAAGAATGGCCTTGGGGCAGAAACAGTGAAAAGCCAAGCCCAACTACAAACCAGAGGCAGAAACTGTAACGGGACTGTAAAATGAGACACTGCAAAAGCAAGAATGCAGCTTTAGAGACGATTTTTAGCAACAAAACTATAAGAAGGGGGTAGTAATGGGTTGAATGCGAAAACAAATTAAACTGAATCTTGAAAAAGTAGATCACCACTGTTACATTATAAAACTACTTTAATAATTACTCTGTTTAGAAACAAAACATGTCGAATAATAATTTGAAATTGAAAACTCGGCACTTAATTTCTGGATAGCAAACTTGCAGGATACGATGGATTTTACAAGTGTCATATTTATTAGAGAATATCACATGAATGTGCCAAAATGCCTGCAGTAAGAGATCAATTACACATCCATTTTCTTATAAACCCATTGAAGTCATGACTTTACAAATCTTTTGCCAGTGGCAATAAACCCATAGCCAGAAACGTCATTTCAGATCATTAAAACCAGTCTCCAAACTTTAACCACTATCACAAAGCATGAAAACATGGTGAAAGATACAGAAAACACATTTTTTAAGGGTTGTTTAAAAAAAAGACAAATCTACAACAAAGACCATATGCAGCTGCAAAGCTAAAAATACTTACTATCTGGTCCTTTACAGGAAAAGTTTGCTGACCACTGGTCTAGGTCAAACACATCATGGTAAAGGAAGTTTGCCTAAAAGAAGCACCATTTCATTAAATACTTCATCTTCTAACATCTTGTATGCTAGCAATAAAAAGTAAAACTTTTTTTTGCTTGTTTATACTGACTCGGCCTACTCACATTTGGAGACAGTCCTTATTTGGGTGCCAGTTGCATAACAGGGAAGGAAACCAAAATTGTAACCAGATGGTCCACCCATTCAAGCAATTTTTTATTAACTATAGATATAGAGGCTTTTAGATTCCAGTTTACCAAGAAGAACCAGTAGGAGTGATTAAACAGTTATCTTGGGCATAGATACAACTAGTTACATTACATTAGCATGGAGGGAGGGGTCCTATTTAAATTCCACCTCCTCCTGAGTACTGGTAATCTTTTTAGCCATTGATCCTAACCATTTTGCATTCCTCTGTCTTTGGGTCACTCACTTATGATTGCTGGGTCATACCTCCTGTAAGGAATGTCTAGACATAACGCTAACTGCAGGGGCTCCTCAAATATTCTCAATTAATTCATCTTCATCTTTGATTGCATACGGCTCCCTGTTCCAACTGAAGAGGTTGCCACTATCACTTAACTTTCAATTATCTGTCTTCTTTTGCATGTCACTTGCGAGTAGCCGACTATCCCTCTGATTGGTTAGGGTGACTTTATCTCCTATTTGCAAAACTTTGTGTTGGGCAGTTATGTTTTGCCAAATCATTCTTTTTTTTTTTTTAATAATTTTTATTTATTTATTTATTTTTCCCCCAAAGCCCCAGTACATAACTGTATATTCTAGTTGTAGGTCCTTCTAGTTCTTCTATGTGAGCTGCCACCACAGCATGGCTACTGACAGATGAGTGGTGTGGTTCTGCACCCATGAACCGAACCTGAGCTGCCAAAGCAGAACACGCCAAACTTGAACCATTAGCACGCCAAACTTGAACCATTAGGCCATCAGGGCTGGCTCACCTTACTAACATTTATAATAAAAATTACCTTCCCCAGCTATCCACTACATGTGAACCAATAAGCCAACAGGTCATGCTTCTTGGTCAGTGGTTCTCAACCATGAATCACCTGTGGAGCTTTAAAAAAGAAAACTGCAATACCTGGGCTGAATCCCAAACCAATGAAAGCACAATCTCTACAGGGTGGGACCCAGGTGTCAGTGTGTTTTAAAGCCTCCCAGAGGTGATTCCAATGGGCAATCAAGGTTGAGAACCACCATTCCCAGTGTCATGATAATAGGCTTTGGTCAAATTAGTATTTGCAGTAGAAACTGTAGGAAATGAATTCCATAATTTTAAGCTATTAAGCTCAAGTCCCACCAAAATTATATCATAAAATGCAGACACCATGAAGACTTAGTGAAATTTTAATAGAAACGATTTAGACTCACAGCATCAGTTGACTCTTGTTTAAGTCAGCCAATACTTACTTGTCACGGGTGAGGCCCTCTTCACCATGTGGTAGGTGAAGTAAGATTATCCTATTTTTGAATTCACTACTGAAAAAAACCTAGGCATTTCCCAGTTTACTATATGAAAAGCTACCAATTGGGAGCCTTGAGAATTTAAGAGGGAGATAATTTTTGGCTGATGGAGAGTATGGAAAGCTCTCTCTCTAAGGAGAGACTTCTGAAACAATAAAATTAAAAATTTTTATTGACTTCATAAACTCTGAAAGAAATAAAAACAGATGTAAGAAAAGAACTTCAAGGGTAAAAGACAGTTTTTTCCCTAAGATCTATAGCCAACTCATTTATTCAAGATGTCTGGTTTATACATTAACTAAAACCATGGCTTTTCTTCTTCCTTCTACCCACTGCCAAACTATTTTCCATTTATTCACAATAAATTTATCTGCAGGTCCAGAGAGGAGAAGAAAGTCTAACTGGCCAATGTTTCATAAGGTTTGACAGGTTGTTGCTAAAACCAAACAGAACTGTTTTTCATTATCTCAATCACAAGCCACCAAGAACAGACTACTGTTTCTGTTCACAAAAGGGAAAAGCAAATCCTTCCTGACCTTGCTGATTTTCATTAATTTTCTACCTACTTTTCTGGTTTATTTTTCTGAACTTGATTTCTCTAAACTCGATTGTCAGCAGCTAAAACATAGCAGCCTAACACTCCGTGTAAACTAACTTCTGTGAGCGTCTGCCTACTGAACATTGCTACTTAAAATCACTGGCTGACTTCCACCCTCAGCCCACTGCCCTCCAACACTTTGTTCCGCAGTTACTGACACTGCTCATTCACTTTTCAAATCTAAATTTAGCTTCATGGCAACAAGGAATAAAATGAAATCTACCAAGTAGGAAAAGCTCCTTAGGGTCAGCCAGTCCTTCACCCCAAAAGATACTTATTTTAAACACGAATACTAGGGCCAGCCCCATGGCTTAGCAGTTAAGCGCGCGTGTTCCGCTGCTGGCGGCCAGGGTTCAAATCCTGGACGCGCACCGATGCACCGCTTGTCTGGCCATGCTGAGGCCGTGTCCTGCGTACAGCAACTAGAAGGATGTGCAACTATGACACACAACTATCTACTGGGGCTTTGGGGAAACAAAAAGGAGGAGGATTGGCAGTAGATGTTAGCTCACAGCCGGTCTTCCTCAGCAAAAAGAGGAGGATTGGCATGGATGTTAGCTGATCTTCCTCACAAAAAAATAAAAATAAAAAATAAACACGAATACTATCACCATAATCCATGGCCAGGATCAACCAGACCTGCTGTGAGAAGCAAGGCTACATCCATCTGGGAAGTGCATTTTTCCCCCTA